ATTTTGCCTTAATAAATTTTCCAGCTGCTCCTCCTGTTTCCCTGTTATTGTTTCCTGCAACTGTTCCCAAATTGTGGGGAAAATTAATTTGTTTACGTGCTCATTCACGTGCATTCGTCTTTATTCTGTTGTAAAAGGTGAGAAGAGAAACACCGTTAACGCAACTGTGTAAAAAAAGAAAACCAGTATCAAAACACTGAAGTAGACGTTTCGCCACCAAGGGCTTTTTAAGTTTCCTGACGGGCGATACGTCTCCTTACTAAGTGCCCAGATACAACTTTTTTCTCTTACAATACAACTGTAAGAAATATTTCTTTAACTCGTTTGAATGTGTAAGTGTATATAGCGTTAATGTTTATATGTTTACATAAATGTGTAGCTTATTAGATGTGCATATATATTTTCGTCATATTTTGTGTTTTTACATATTGTTCCCTGGTTTCAAACAGTACATAGTGACACAGGGAAGTCGTGTATAATTTTTTTCAGCTCTCACAAGGCTGGATTATTCATAAATTCTGTTTTTTAGTTATAGTGCGGATGATCGCAAAGGTTTGTGTTTTTTTTTACAGTTACAGGAGAATCATCATGTAATCTTACACGTTGTTTGGTGTAGTTTAGAAAAATGCGTTGGTAACATTGTATTTTGGTGTCATTCGTTGTTAGGGAATTTATCCGACGACCGTTTATGTGGGTTATGGTGTTCTCAGTAGAATATATACACCGAGAGCTGTATTTCTCAGCGTATATTCGTATAAATATAGCGTGACAAGCACTTGTCAGAGCTCAGTAATAACGCACATGGAGACAGACACAGGAGATTAATTGATCTGTATATTTCGACCTTCTCCTGGGACCCTCTTCTGGGACCTCTCAGCATATATGAGTATATGCTGAGAATTTACTTTAATACCTGTTTAAGGGATTAAATTATTCTTGATTGGTGAGCAAAAGGATTTTTAACCCAGAGGGTTAGCCACCCAGGATAACCCAAGGATGTTAGTGCGTCCTTAAATCTTGACCCCCAGGATGCGACCCACACCAGTCGACTAACACCCAGGTACTTGCTGGGTGAACAGGACAACAGGTGTAAGGAAACACGTCCTATGTTTCCACTCTTCCCTTTAAGGACCTTAGTGTAGTCGATAGGTTTTAAGCCCCGTTAACCATTATGGTGTTGTCGAAACTTCGCTTTATTGCTTTGAGTTCGTCAGCTGGTCGAATAATCTCAGCTGGTGGAGTGTTTTTGCCCATCAGCTGATCGAATTTCCTCACCTGGTGGATTGTTTTGCTTCGTCAGCTGATCGGGTGCTCCGTCTCAGGTGCCTTAAGATATTTGAGTTCATCAGCTGATCAGAGTATAAACGTTGGTCAGCTGATCAGAGTATAAACGTTGGTCAGCTGATCAGAGTATAAACGTTGATCAGGTAACTTGAATTCCCTAACCTGGTATATTTTGTTGGGTCATCAAGTACCTGTATAGTTTCCTCCTCTGTGTATACCACACATTGTATACCACACATTGTGTACCACACATTGTATCCAGTACCGACAGGTGTATTACATAAAACACATCTGCAACGTATGGAGAACCTAGGTTCAGATGTCTCGCCCTCTTCCCCCCCTCCCCTCCCCTCCCATGAACTTCCTCAGTGATCATTGGATTGAGCGAAACGTCTCTTAAATAATAGTTCCCATATGTTGCATGTGTATTTCCTTTATACATTCCTCCACTTAAATTGTTCTGACTTGTAAAACTTATGCTTTTTGTTTGTAGGTTTAAGAATGAAACTGAGAGACAACGAAAGCGTTTTTAATTTTTTTATTAATGAAGTTCCCAGTAGACAAATTTATATAGTGCATTTTTTATTGAAGCGTTTATTGAAAAGTAAAATAGGAAGAGAAAGTTTTATTTGATTTACTACTGGTGGAATAAGCAATACAAATATATAGGCTAAAAAAAGATTTGCTTAAATTAAAATTAGTGTCATTATCTATAATTAGGGTTTAACAGTGTGAGAGAGAGGGTGGTCTCAGGATCACCATTATTCTGACGTGTGGTGAAGCAACAGTGATGTCTGCTGACAGACACTGATGTACAGACGTGTGGTGAAGCAACAGTGATGTCTGCTGACAGACACTGATGTACAGACGTGTGGTGAAGCAACAGTGATATCTGCTGACAGACACTGATGTACAGACGTGTGGTGAAGCAACAGTGATGTCTGCTGACAGACACTGATGTACAGACGTGTGGTGAAGCAACAGTGATGTCTGCTGACAGACACTGATGTACAGACGTGTGGTGAAGCAACAGTGATGTCTGCTGACAGACACTGATGTACAGACGTGTGGTGAAGCAACAGTGATGTCTGCTGACAGACACTGATGTACAGACGTGTGGTGAAGCAACAGTGATGTCTGCTGACAGACACTGATGTACAGACGTGTGGTGAAGCAACAGTGATGTCTGCTGACAGACACTGATGTACAGACGTGTAGTGAAGCAACAGTGATGTCTGCTGACAGACACTGATGTACAGACGTGTGGTGAAGCAACAGTGATGGCTGCTGACAGACACTGATGTACAGACGTGTAGTGAAGCAACAGTGATGGCTGCTGACAGACTCGTGCACAGATGAAGGAACAACAATAGGACGAGAACTCAAATGTTTATTGCAATTGAAACACAGTGATAATTTTCATATTCATATAATGATAATTGAAAGAGGATATTTTCTCCAGCAAGATGAAGAGACTTGAAAGTAACAGTGAAAGTAACAGTGAAAGTATCTGAAAACATTCATTACTAAGAATGGAAATTGAGAGAGAGTAAAAGTTAAGTGAAATATTAATGACTTTTTTTCCACTTACGGATGACGATAATTTGTATGGGACGAGAGTTTTTAGTATGAAAAGAGTAAATTATAATAAAAAACAAAAACAAATGAGCGGTGTTGGCGAGCCCCGCCCCTTAGACTACTGGGGTCGTCTCCACTGATTTCTCCCCTCTTTGGCCTCATATCTCCTCCTGAAGCATCTAAGTTATTCCACTTTTCAGCCACCCTAAGACTGTGTGTGTGTTAGGTAGTTACTGGTTGTCAAAGGTATTTTTCTGTAGATACTTAGCCTTTCTATGTGTGACGTTAGTGACCAGCTCTTAAGAGGTTTGTGTTTTTATTCTTTTGTGAGTGTGTTTGTAAGGGTACAAAACATAGAATATTGCTCAGGTTAACGATTGTAGAGGATCTAATCCGTCCTGACATACTCTCCTCGACGCTCTTATTCCTCTTAGACTCCATTCATTAAAGATCTGAAGTGCTTTCTTCAGGAGCTTGAAGAAAGAGCTCCTGAAAACGGTTTTGGGGACTTTTTTTTTCTCCGAGAGCACTTAGCCAGGAGGGAGAGATAGCAACAGCCTCCAGTGTGAGTATCGAGAGCACTTAGCCAGGAGGGAGAGATAGCAACAGCCTCCAGTGTGAGTGTCGAGAGCACTTAGTAGGAGGGAGAGATAGCAACAGCCTCCAGTGTGAGTGTCGAGAGCACTTAGCTAGGAGGGAGAGATAGCAACAGCCTCCAGTATGAGTGTCGAGAACACTTAGCTAGGAGGGAGAGACAGCCTCGAGTGTGTGAGTGTCAGCTCTGTGAGAAAATCCCCTGTCTTTCTTTCTCTCACTCTCTCTCACGATGCTGCCCAAGTCTCTGACACTAGACCAGCTGGTAGGGCGGCCCTGGGGCTATACCAGAGCCCAAAACCTCAGGCTCAAGGTGGGTTTCTCACTGTTCATATGTATATATACACATGCACACATTATCTACACATGTTCACACACACACACACACACACACACACACACACACACACACACACACACACGCACACGCACACGCACGCACACACACACACACACACACACACACACACACTGTATAATCTCAGTTTTTTGTCGATAATTCAATAAAAATAATTTATTGTGGTAATTGATGCCATTTCATGTTAGGATAATTATAACTGCCACGTTTGAGAGGAAAGATGATAGCTGCTGTTAATTGTAATGGGTAGCTCCCATTAACAGTGCCATGGGTAATGGGTGTGCATGAGGCCGTTCCTATTACGCGCCCAGGTGGGTCAGTACTGCCACTCAGGTGGGTCAGTACTGCCACTCAGGTGGGTCAGTACTGCCACTCAGGTAGGTCAGTACCGCCAGTCAGGTAGGTCAGTACCGCCACTCATGTGGGTCAAAAAAAAACAGTTATCTTAAACATAATTATCTAAAAGAATTTAGCGTTCTTTGAAAAAAAAAAAAAACAATTGGCATAATTTAATATTTCACTATTTCAAAAAAATAATTTACCTACCTCGTATATTATACGCTCCGTAATGGATGGTTACGTTCAGGTTAACGCTGTATGATCCTTACGGGTTAAGCGCTTAAATTATTATTAATAATAACACAAAAATTGCAGCTGGCAGAGTTATCAAGAACCAGTTTTCTCGTTGCATTCTATCGGCATTTGCAACTTGAAAAAAAAAGCCTCCCGCTCTATCCCTTAACAAAAGATATTTACAGTCAGCTCTCTTACGAGGCTCCTTCATTTTTTGTTGGATTTTTTTTTCGTAAATGCGATTGAAAACTTACGTCCATAATTGAATACTCTGTGGAGAGGTCTTCACAGTACGCTCTGATCAGTTTTTTTTTTTAATGCACTTTTTTCAGTCGCTTTTACGAAAAGCTGCACTCTAAAGCGATTGAAAAAGTACATTGAAAATTGGAGAGTATATATATTATGAAGGCCTTTCTACATAGTTATATTTTTGTTGCATGTTTTCAATCGCATTTGCGGGAAGTTACACTAAATAGAGGAGATTTATAAGAGACTATATAAAATATATTTATCTCCTCCCTCACTCCGCTTTTTTAATATTTGTGTTGCTTTGTGGAGTATGAAAACGTTTTACCCTCATGTGGAGTATGAAAACGTTTTGACCTCATATCAGCTGAGGTGTGGCGAGGCTGAGGAGGTGGAGGGGGAGGTTATCTCAGACTCCAGACACCCTGGGCTCACCCTCAGCTTAACGTCACCCTCGGCTCTGCTACCTCCCAGCACTCATCATCCCACCGAGATTGTCTCCCCCGTCAACATATACAAGGTTAGTATCGCACGAGGGCTGCTGCTGGTGCTGCTGCTGGTGCTGATGCTGATGCTGCTGGTACGGAAACCACAAGAGTTTACCCTTGAGACTGAGCACGGGAACCACTCACAGAAAACGAGCTGTGAAAGAGCATGGGAGACTTTTTTTTTTTCATGTATACACACTGGCTGTCGCATCCTACGGCCCTTGTGTACATTGGTGATTTCGTCTCATTTGACAGCGCATCGTGGTCTAGTGAATGTTTCTATTTGTTTTATTTTTATGTTGCTCGATACCCTCATCCTCCCCTCTCCTCCGTCTATGTAATTATGACTGAAAAGCTGTATTCTTCTGTGAGAACACAAGTTGACCCTGCCACAAGAGAATGCACGTTCTTCTCAGTTCACTGTTCCCGGTGTGAGACCTGTGGATGTACAGGCGTCATGCCCGCAGTTATGGGTATATAGAGACAATATACCGAACAAGCTGTTTGTTTTTGTGACAACGTTTCGCTCAGGGTATATTTATCACGCCAACACCTGATAAAGCTCTGCCCAGTAAAGGCTTGTTCAGCATAGCGTGTCTTTATTATACACAGAACTCACACTGAAGGCAGCAGTTTGATGTTGGTTCCATGTGCTGTTCTTGTATGTGCACTTGCAAGTATAGCTTTGCGTTGCATTATATCACATATTTATACAACTGTTGACATTGTCTAGATCGTGAATTATATACGTTTTCCTATAATTGTTATATATATGGTATATCGTTGTTATTGTTTTCATACGCTTATCACATCCTATATTATATATATATATATATATATATATATATATATATATATATATATATATATATATATATATATATATATATTATACACACACATTATAACACACACACACACACACACACCACAGTACGTGTGTCAATTGTGAGGAGTGGTATTGAAATTACTCTAAATATCCCTTTTGTTATTGTAATGTTTGCCAGTGTTAGATGTTTACCGCTGTTACTTTGCCAATGTTACTACGACATCGAACATTGCAATAGGTCTCAGTGCAACTGTCTTGCTTGTTTAGATTGCTGTTGCTGTCCATTATGCAATTGCTACAGTCTTACCAACACTGGTAGGGTAGGATCCTGGCGTTGATCCAGATGTGCTAATTTCAGAGTACTTTTAAGCTTGGAAGACCTTTATTTTGCGATGTTTCGTCCACTTGGTAAAACGTCGTGTATCAAGGTTTTTTTTAATTGCTAAAAGTAGCTCTGCAATTACCACTTCTAGTGGTAATTTTCTATTATTACAACTATTACTATCACTGCTACTATTACCACTTCAACTATTTCAATTTTAGACCTAATATAATTACTATCACTGCCAGTACCTCTACTAACACTCGTTACAGCTATTAAGAGTACTGCTATTATTGCGGCTATTACTTTAGCTGCTGTAACTACTGCTTTTATTACTAGAACAATTACTATGTTTCCACATAATGCTACCATAGATAATAATCATAATAATCTAAATAATACTTTCCCAAAGTCGCGCCCGTCTTTAATGGTACTAAAATAACCCTAATAAATTATCATCCGTAACAGCATAGTTATCATCCATAGTAATGCCATAACTGTCATCCATAACAACAGTAAAAGGAACAGTCAGCAACCAATAACAAAAACACGAAAGCATTCCCCTTTTTTGTTGTTGGGTCGAAAACTGACTGTGTTTGTTCGTAATGACACGATTGCAAACAAACCATACCCCGGCCGGGATTGAACCCGCGGTCATAGAGTCTCAAAACTCCAGCCCGTCGCGTTAGCCACTAGACCAGCTAGCCACAATAAGATTCATCCAACTAGGTATATTTCTACACCATAAGAAGGTTAGCACAGGCACCACTGTGACCACAAATGCAACGGGCTGGAGTTTTGAGACTCTATGACCGCGGGTTCAATCCCGGCCGGGGGTATGGTTCGCTGTCAGTGTTGTGTTGTGTTGGTCTCTGGTACACTGGAGGTGTTGCAAGGTTTTCCCACAACCAGTTTTTCAACGTTTTTTTTTCTTGTTTGTTTTTCTTGTATTTTTTTCTTTTATTTTTCATTCGCTTATTATTTTTCGTTGTTTTATTTATTTCCTGTAATTTGCAGGTTTTATTATTATTTTCCTTCAGTTTTTCATTTCCTTCTTTTCATGACCTGTTTTCTTTCTTCGTTTTTTTATAGCTCGTTCTCACTTTTTTTTCTCACTGCTCCCATCGTTTGTTTCTTTCTCATTTTTTTATATTCTTTATCATAACTTGCTTCTGCTTCATCTTACTGTACACTGTTATCTGATCAAATTCGTTACCTCCCTCCCTCCCTCTCTCTCTCTCTCTCTCTCTCTCTCTCTCTCTCTCTCTCTCTCTCTTCTCTCTCTCTCTCTCTCTCTCTCTCTCTCTCTCTCTCTCTCTCTCTCTCCTGCGAATATATATAATTAAACGATGATTTTTATTTCATATTTGGAAATTATTGAACAAAGAGAAGCAACACAACATTGAAAGACCACTACATTGAAAGACCACAACATTGAAAGACCACAACATTGAAAGACCACAACATTGAAAGACCACTACAAAAGACCACAACAATGAAAGACCACAACATTGAAAGACCACTACAAAAGACCACAACAATGAAAGACCACAACATTGAAAGACCACAACAATGAAAGACCACAACATTGAAAGACCACAACATTGAAAGACCACAACAATGAAAGACGACAACATTGAAAGACCACAACATTGAAAGACCACAACATTGAAAGACCACAACAATGAAAGACCACAACATTGAAAGACCACAACAATGAAAGACCACAACATTGAAAGACCACAACAATGAAAGACCACAACATTGAAAGACCACAACAATGAAAGACCACAACATTGAAAGACCACAACATTGAAAGACCACAACAATGAAAGACCACAACAATGAAAGACCACAACATTGAAAGACCAACACAAAAGACCACAACAATTGAAAGACCACAACATTGAAAGACCCACAACAATGAAAGACCACAACAATGAAAGACCACAACATTGAAAGACCACTAACATAAAGACCACAACAATGAAAGACCACAACATTGAAAGACCACTACATTGAAAGACCACAACAATGAAAGACCACAACATTGAAAGACCACAACATTGAAAGACCACAACATTGAAAGACCACAACATTGAAAGACCACAACAATGAAAGACCACAACATTGAAAGACCACAACAATGAAAGACCACAACATTGAAAGACCACAACAATTGAAAGACCACAACAATGAAAGACCACAACATGAAAGACCACAACATTGAAAGACCACAACATTGAAAGACCACAACATTGAAAGACCACAACAATGGGAGACATTGAAAGACCACAACATTGAAAGACCACAACGTTGAAAGACCACAACATTGAAAGACCACAACATTGAAAGACCACAACAATGAAAGACCACAACATTGAAAGACCACAACGTTGAAAGACCACAACATTGAAAGACCACAACATTGAAAGACCACAACATTGAAAGACCACAACATTGAAAGACCACAACAATGAAAGACCACAACATTGAAAGACCACAACGTTGAAAGACCACAACATTGAAAGACCACAACAGTGAAAGACCACAACAATGAAAGACCACAACAGTGAAAGACCACAACAATGAAAGACCACAATAATGAAAGACCACAACAATAAAAAACCACAACAATGAAAGGCCACAGACCACAACAGTGAAAGACCACAGAAGACCACAATGAAAGACCACAATAAAAGACCACAACATTAAAAGATCACAACAATGAAAGACCACAACATTGAAAGACCACAATAAAAGACCACAACATTGAAAGACCACTACAAAAGACCACAACAATGAAAGACCACAACAAACCATACCACGGGAGGGATTGAACCCGCGGTCAGTCTTTAAACTCCAGACCGTCGCGTTAGCCACTGGACCAGCTAGCCACAATAAGATTCGTCCAACTAGGTATATTTCTACACTATTTGTGGTCACAGTGGTGTCTATGCTAACCTTCCTATGGTGTAGAAATATACCTAGTTGGACGAATCTTATTGTAGCTAGCTGGTCCAGCGGCTAACGCGACGGGCTGGAGTTTTGAGACTCTCTGACCGCGGGTTCTATCCCCGCCCGTGGTATGGTTTGTTTGCAATCGTGTCATTACGATTTCGTGAGTCATGTTAAAGACCACAATAATAAGTCTATTCCTCGTGAGGTTTTACGCCAAATTTGATTACCCTCTGTCCCCTACGGGTTTACCACTTTCCGATGTAGTTGAAGTTAAGTTCTGGGGGAACTTACGAAACTAAGGTCTGGCGGAACTTAAGTTCTGAAGAAACTTACGAAGCTCAGTTCTGGCGGAACTTAGAAAGCTAGGTTTTAGAGGAACTTTGGACACTAAGTTCTAGAGGAACTTAGGAAGCTAGGTTCTAGAGGAACTTAGGAAGCTAAGTTTTAGAGGAACTTAGGAAGCTAAGTTCTAGAGGAGCTTAGGGAGCTACGTTCTAGAGGAACTTAGGGAACTAAGTTCTAGAGGAACTTAGGAATCAAAGTTCTGGAGGAAATTATAAAGTTCTGGAAGAACTTGCAAAGTTTGTTAAAAAAGATGCCCAGAATTCAATCGTTTGTTCCCAGCTAACAAACAAGTTAGAAACGACAACTTAAACGTTTCGACCTCTCGTCGGTTTGATAATGGTCAAGGATTGACCGAAATGTTGCCCGATTTTCAATTCAGGTCTGTGGGAGAATTTGTGAATTGTTCCATCCTTGGTATTGAGATTTTTTTTCACTTCATACCTGTGAGAGGCTTTTGATCCAGGGAAACTGTATCAACAATATTACTTGTGTAGTATGTATTTCCTACCAGCATTTATAGGCAGGCTCTCTGGCCAAGCCTTAAAGTTACATGACTCCCCGTTTGAACCAGGCAT